CAGTGAATGCTCCATGGACTGAAACTGGAATTGGCTATATTCACAAAACAGAGTCATGCTGCTATTCTAAACCCAAGCCTGAGACATGCAGGCTGTAGGTCTGAGATTTTAAATATACAGTTTAGTGAGATTCTTTTTGGAAAAATTTAGTGGCATACCTATTCCTGCTTATTATCCATTAGCTTGACATAACGTATTAGTCTAATATTTAAAAGGGTGGAGGGAAATTCTTAAGTATAAGAAGCTTTTATTTACACATTAATGAGAGTAACAGTTTACTCATTTCTTTGGTTTCAGTGAAAAGTAAAATATTTTTCTCAGTGATTTCTTTCAAGACAACTAAACTATCTTGTCTAAGCACCATGTTAATTAAAAAAAAAAAACATTGGCAGAGAGTGATCTTTCTATGATATATCATTCACTTGCTTGACTTACTAATCCAAACTTACTGAAGATAATTTTTTCTCTTACCATAACAGTTATAATCATCGTCCTTTTCTGTGGAGATAAAGCTAAGTATTCCCTTATTAAAAATGCTTGGAAATGACCAAACCAGTGAGAGGATGCTGAACGATGTCATCTGAAAAATATCAGATACAAGGGGGGACATTTGGGCTTGGAAAAGAATTGAAAGAAAACATAAAGTAGCCCTCCAGTGTAGAAAGGGAAGGGGGCAGGTGGTGGGGAACAATTTGATTTGCCAGTAAAATTCCAGAAAATGAAATAAAAAATGAGTGGAAGCTGCAAGGACATAATTTTCTAACAATTAGTTAGGTTTCCATCATTATTAGTAACCAGGGAAGGATGTGAGCCCAGCCAATTATGGGGATCCTGCCCTGAAATGGAAGATGGGCTTTATGATTATGGTGGGAATTTGGCATCAGCGTCCGCCCAGTGTCCATTCCCTCTTCTTCTGGTGAGAGCAGCTTGATTTCTTTGGAAAAACCCCTATCCTATTTTCAGTCCCTGGGGTTTGAGATGGGCTTTCCCATGTGCTTTTAGGATTGATCAGCAGATCAGATCCTCCTTGAGTGTGACTGGTTCAGAGAAGGACATTGACCAAGGGAAGCTTATTTGATTCTATTCAGGAACTCTCGCTATACACTGGAAAAGAGGGTGAGCAGGTAGCTTCAGTCGCCATCCTACTGGTAGGAAAGAAGAGCCTGTGTGAGACAGGAAGACAGCAAGACAGGGTCCTGATAAAAATGTGTGAGCACCTGAGCTCTGTCATACCTACAGTTGCAATCCATCCCGAATCATCTTCTCAAATACATGAGCCAATGAATTCTCTTTTGCCCTTAAGCCAGTTTTGAATTGGTTTCTCTTACTTGCAACCAAAAACATCCACCCTAGTTGATACAATGGTTGGATAGCGACTTATAATTCTAGGATTCTAGGTTTTTGTTTTTTTTTTAAAATGATTCTGCTATTTTTGTATTTTAATGTTTTTGTTTTTAATAGGTTGACTTCAGCCTTATCTGCCTCAAAGTAGCTTCTGTCTAAAAACTAAAGTAAATAAAATAATCAACCTTATTCAGTTAGTGACAATTACTCAATTCATCCAAATGATTCCAACTGCTTTCATGGTGAGTAGAGACCTCTTCTGAAGACTAAATCTCTTGAGCTGTGTGACAGGTCTTCCCCATTTTAAATGTCTGATATTGCCTACACTGATTGCTGGAGACATATACAAGACAATAAGAAATGTTTTACGTTTATAGATACTCTACCCAAGAAGAATGCTATAAAATTATTTGAATTTTCAATCTTTCATTTAGATGCTTGGATTAACATAGATAAAGCTAGTGTGGATATGCTGTAAATTTCCAAAAGAATGGGAAGCCAAAATAAGAAAATATTTAAAACATATTTTTAAGATAACAGACATGTTAATGTTAAACCAGTGTTTCTGAATCTCTATATTCACTTAGCTAACTACAATATCACCATATGGTTAGATGAGATAAAACCTTTTTAATTTTTGACATGTTGCTTCTAATACCACTACTGTAAACTCATTTGTAGGCAGCTGATTAATTAAAATTGAAATTAAATGTCGATAAGTACGAGTTTAGCAAAGTCTTTCAAAACACAGAATCTAGGCAGAACATTAATAAAGAGTGCTTGATCATAAAGTTTTGTTTCACTGTGTTATGCCAGTATTTTATACTTAAGGGATTAATAATCTCTTTAATCAAAGGTTAAAGACTTGCCTTTTGATTCCTAAGATTCTATATCTCAAAAGAGAATTAAGGCAAATGAGGCAGTGTATTAGAAATTATTACTGAACGCTGTATAGCCAAAGAATTTTGCACTTTGTGTTGGTCTACCAGGCTAAACCTTTCCTAAACAAGGAGTTCTAAAATTTTTTTACTCATCAGCTTCATCTACGATTGCTTTAGCGCACTCATCCACTTAATTTTTCCTCTTCTCTTTCAGAAAGAAATGAGAAAAATGGCAGAATCTCTTCTCTGCCAATGAGAAAAAAACTGTAAAATCTTTCTTATTGTTCACCCATTTAAGAAATTATGAAATGTTCCACTTGCTGTGTCTTTCTCAGGAGTTAAAAACCAGTAGCTCATGAAGTAAACTTGGTCTATAGGCACACAGTTTATATTGTACATCCATCAGAATAAAAATTAGTTGCTGACATGTAAAAGTTGGAAGCTCAAACAAAAGTCTAGATTTCTAGTTTCTCTTGAAGAACAATAAGATGGAGAGGCACCTGACCTGAGTCTCCATATGGCTGAGTGGCAGGTGTCTCCCTTGGATGGGGCACACGCTCAAGTCCCCATCATTCCCCTATATACTACACCTGGCCAGTTTTTCAATGCATTTGCATTACCAAAATCATCACATCTGGTTAATAAATTCTGAGTAAGGTGGGAGGGAGGATCAGAACTGTGAGAACACAGTACTCATGTGAAGAATAAGTGCTAATATTGATAGTTTGGGACTAGCCTGGTGACACTAGTGGAGGTGGAGGTGATAAATAGCAGGAATTGGGTAATGATGGGGAGTTTCCTCAGTTTAAATATATAGTTTAGTGCAAAATAAATGCTGAAGCATATTTGAACCCTATTAGTCAAATCAGAAATTTGTAGTAAGTCAAGTGGTAGAAACAACCAATTAAATTCACTTATCATGGAATTCTTGATACTGACATATTATTTTTCCAAAGGTAATTTAATTAGCTTATAACAATGGTTAAGCTGTAGCAGTAGTATGCAGTCATTAATACTGTTCAAAATATTAGGTTGTCTCTTTGTTTCCAGGCACATAGTAGGATTATATTTCCCTCTGGGTTGCAGGAACATAAGACTTGTTTTGGCCAAAGAAATGTGAGTGAAAATGCAGCGTTGCACTTCTAAGCAGAAGCTTTAAGAACCCATGCATGTTTGGCTCTTTTCCTTCTGCAATGGCAGTGTTCCAGAGCATGTTGGTCCACCAGCCTGGCCTTAGAGAGGAGCAGAGCCCCCATCAGACCCCTGATGTGCATGGGGTGTGAAAGAGAAATTGCCTTTTGTTGTTATAAGCCAGGACTAAGGGTTGCTTGTCACAGTAGCACAGCTTAGCTTCTCCTGATTGACCTACAGTGTTATTATAACTTAATTCATTCATGATTTTTAACATATCTAATACCCATATTATTTTCTTAATGTCATTTTAAAATTAAAACTTTTAAAATATAACCTTGTTCTGAGCAATACATGTGGTACATACTAGTTATATTCCAACTATATTAAAAGTAAATACCTAACTAGTAAAAGTAATATCATGTACCACATTTTAAGAAACACTGAAGTAAATAGAAAATGAATCTCATGTTAAAGACTGCAGTATAAGCAACTGTGCTATCAATTTTCAGGTTTGGCTACAAATTTGAATGCCATGTCAACATTCAATGAACTACACTGCTTTCTTGATATACCAGAAATCAGAAAGGGAGGTATACTATGAATTTAATACATGTGCTACTCCGTAGTACATAGCAAGTGTTAAAAAAAATGTGTGAATACACCATTTATAAACCATATCAGGTTTGTTTACAAAAACCGTTTAAATGGACACTGTCATCATCAGATCTAATTTGTGTATGCAAATCTAAAGGTTTACAGGTGTAAAGGGTAGATACATACACATTTTTACAGGCTTCCTTCTTGCATTCTTGAGTACTTGACCTTTAGCATTAATTAAAATCATTATATCTACAGCTGGCAAATCCTGTCTTATAGGTGACAAACAGATTCATGAATAATTACAATTTTGCAACAGATTGAGTAGATTACAGAAAAAGGCAAGGGATATTTTATAGGGGTAACAGCCAAGAAAAGGTCTTAGAGACACCTGCCATTTCGTGCAAGCTAATGTAGTACCTCAAGTAACTCCTATATATTTGCATTGTATACACTACATGCATTCTAGATGTTATTCATCTAAAAATATACAGATGAAGAGTTTAGATATTAGAAAGAAAAAAACCTGTTGTCTCAAAAAGATGTAATTTAAATAAAAATCGAGCATAATAATCTGCTGTATGAAGAATGAGTTTTGAAATTAGAGATAGCCCCCAAAAGAGAAAAACTAATGGGAGACATAGTAGCTACTGCCAAATAATTGAAGGGTTATCATAGCAAATAAGATGTGGGCTTATTTACACACGCCAAAGGAGTTAGGTTGGGAAAAGGTGGGCAAATCTACAAAAATTTCAGGCTAAAATCAGAGAGGATGTTTGTAGCTATTCACCTTAAGGCAGCTCTGGCAGTCTTCACAGCGATCATGTGATCTTTCTCTGCAGGGAGTGCTTTGTAGAATTCCCAAATCCAGAAGGACTATAAAGATCAGTAACTCACCACTCACCCTTCCAAAGCTTCTGTTCTTTTTTAACACTTAGTTCAGGAATAGCAGATAGTAACTCCACCTTCCCCTTAGAACTATTAATAACAGAACAACAAATTACTACAGGTAAACTAAATATTGAAAATAATTCAAGATAGTACCTTTCATTTTCTTTTAATATGTCCCTTCCTTTCTTCCAGGTGTAAACAGGTTTTGGAGATGCTTTTGGCTTACACTCGATGACAACTTCACCTCCCACTTTGACAAGAGTTACTCTTTTCAAGAGTGTTCTTGAAAAATCTGGGCCTACGGCTGAAAGACAGTACAAAAAATAATTATTATTCAAGACAGCCTTCCATGAGATAATTCCTTAGTCTTTTTTTTTTTTTTCTCTAATACACTTATTGCCACCTTGGTCACCAAAGGGTAGAAGCTAATTTTTTTAATTATGTAGCACTGTATGTTTTGATAGATTTATTAAACCTGAGGTATAATTTGTATTTGGTAAAATGTACCATTTGTGTGTGTATAGTTTGATGAATTTGGTATATACCACCATGAAGATCAAGATAGAATACTCTCATTTCCCTGTTGAGGGATTATTTTAAAGAAAATTTATTCTATGTCCAAGTGAACAAACATTTTAAAATTTCAGAAAATCAAAAGAGAAAGAAACAAAATTAGAAACTCCATAAGAAATTTATTTATTTTTATTTTTATTGTGTAAGTTAAAGGATTCCCTCTCTGATACGGTCACCACCTCTGCTTCATCCCGTAGCACTCTGTTCATGTGTGTCTCCATTACAGAATGTGTTGAACTGTCTATATTGTCACATTCTGTATGCTTCTCCTTAAAAACAGGGCTTTGTTTAGCTTTTCACTGCAAGTGCCTAATGCAATGCTTGGTTCATTTAGGAGAACTGTGACTTGCTCTTGGAGCATAAGTATTGAGAAAGCTCTATTACATGCTTACCATTAGTGTTTTAAAAAATTCACTCATGCTAACACCAGTAACATAGTTATACGGAAATACTATTAAAGAATGATTTCTTTCCTAAAACAAAAGATATATATTTGTATTCTCACAAAAGTAAAATAAAAGACATCTTCCTGGAAAATATCTATTTTCTTCTGAGTTAACTGAATTAATGTGCAGGAAGAGATTTTGGAATGAAGGATTCATTTCTTGGAATCTTAATTTTATCATATTTTAAAACCCTGACTCACTGCAGTTTGACCTGCTGGAATTTAATATTTAAGACCATGTTGAATGTAAAATTTAAATGTAAACCACAAATTACTTAAAGGAGGACTGGGAGTATGTGTTATATGAATGCAGGGGCTTCAGGGGTAATGGGGGCCAATTTTTTTAAAGTACCTAAATCATAGGCTAATGATCTTTAAAAATGAAAACAAGCTTCAGTGGAAGCAAGTTAAATCTTGACTATATTCATTTTTTGTGGAAATACTTTCGGTAACTGCCAAGAAACAAATAAAGATGGAAAGGTTACGTTTTAACAGGACCATGCAATATACACATGGGGCTAGTATTATCATGAGAAGGTAAAATTTTAAAAATGAATCTAGTAGGTAATTGATATCTCAATCTGTTTACCTCAGATTTATTAGGGGAGTCTATAATTCAGGGAGTAATTCAATGATAATAAGTACATAATAAGTAGAGTGCAAGTACAGGTGTACAGATATTTTTGCTGTAATGAGATAAATGTATTTCTTGTATGGTCTGCAAAATTACATAATAAAAATTGTAAGGTTTATGAAAAAGATAGAGTCAGGACATACCTACTCAATATTTGTGTAACAATATTTATGTAACAAGAACACTACAGAAAGAATAACCATACTAGTAATATCAAGCATAATTAAATATAAACATGATCAAAAATGTAAGTTCGATTCATAATAAATACTACAAAAAATACAATGTGTGTATGTGTGTGTGCACATGCATGAGAAGGTAGCTTGATGGAAGAAAGAAGGAAGAGTTGAGATTGCTAAGCTATGAAATAAGTGCAAATTGCAGAAAGATTGAGAATTATACAATAAGCACTGCCACGTTAGAGTAAGTGGCCAAACTGCGCCAAAAGGAAGAATCTGGCATGCATGGGAATCGTGCAGTAGGTATTTTCCCTTGGCTAGCTGTGTTAATCTGCGTTCGTAGGCTTTGTGTTTAGTTGCTGCTACTTAGTAAAATATCTGAACACATCCAGTGTTTATGTTATACTGACACCATTCCCCTACTTACCAATTCCACATAAGCTAATTTATGTCACAGAAAAGTGTTTCAGAAGAGCAAACTCAATGCAAACTGCTGACTTGACTCAAAAATATAAAAAAAAAAAGTCAAGTATTCTTGAAAAAAATTTTAAAGGGTATTTTGTGAAATAGAGTTACAAATCTGTATCATATAAAAATCCCTTCTTAAAACTATATCTTTCTACACTCATATATTTTTTATCACTTTAGGCAGGTATTTTTCATCCATTCAGGAGGAATTCTGCAATTGCATTTGAAATGAGTTTACATAAATCAAACTGTGCACCACACATGGGCATATTTGTCAAAAAACTATATTTTGCCTTTACAAGATTTGAAATAGCATATCAGACACACAGAAACCAGAAAACACACCTTTCAGTTTCAAAGGCATTTATAACGTACTATTTGTGTGCATATAATCTTTTGGATATCTTAGAGATAAGACTGGCTTGAACATCTTTCATTAATAAAAATGCAGTTAAAAATTTGAGGCCAGGCATGGTGGCCCATGACTGTAATCTCAGCATTTTGGGAGGCTGAGGTGGGTGGATAACATGAGCCAGGAGTTTGAGACCAGCCTGGCCAACATGGCGAAATCCTGTTTCTACTAAAAATATAAAAATTATATGTGGCGTTGTATGTCTGTAATACCAGCTACTGGGGAGACTGAGGCATGAGAATCACTTGAACTTGGGAGGTGGAAGCTGCAGTAAGCTGAGATTGCACCACTGCACTTCAGCCTGGGCAACAGAGCTAGACTGGATGTTAAAAAAAGAAAAATCAAGTTTTTGTTTACTCAATTTACCTAATTAGCTTCTGACGTTATCTAACCCTGCAAATCTATCAGCTGTAACCATAAACTGTGGTACTTTTAAGGGAAAATTGTCAAAACTTCATCAGTTTTTGAATACTTGAGCCATTAATAGATTTCTTAACAATCTGGCAATTTGTGACCATCTTTTGCACCTGAGATGTTGTTCAGCTTGCAAGGTGGTGCTTTTTCCTATTTATACCCTTTATTCTGATCCCCAAAAACTGACCTAGGGGAGGTTTGAAGGAAAAGTGAAAGGGAACTGTCCCATGTGACATTCACAGGGAATGAGGTTTTAAAAGCCATTGGTAAAGTTCCCAAAAGGGCACTATCAGAATCTAACCTTTGCTGGCACTTAAAAAATTAGTGCACATGGAAGTGAAACTTCAGTAGGTTCCTAGTAGATGAGAAAAGACAAAATCAACTGTCAAATTACCCCTTAAGTCTGACAGTAGCTCAGATACTGGGAGATCCTCATTTGCTATATTTATTATACTTAAAGGATAATATTTCTCACATACACTGCTAGAGGGCACCACTCCCTCAGTGTTAGAATGAGTTGTATTATGGGACCTCTTCTATGTGAGAAATGCAACTTTTTATTATTTATCAATGATCTTTATTATATTAACTTTATCTGTGGGAAGCATCTGGCTGAGAGAAGCCCTCTTTGTAATTCACAACGATTTGTTTTTAGTGAATTAAATGACTTTTGGTTATTTATCAAGAGTATTTTAAGCGGCCAACAGAACCCCTCAAAAGCAAAAGTTGTTTCTGTTTGTTTTTTGCCTTTGCATCATTTCTGAAGGGAAACAGTAGAATGATAACTCCTTAAGTAGATATGCAGTGGCAGTCCTATTTGGGAAATGTATGGATATGATGTCTTACTATATTATTGAAGAAGAAAGGATTAGTATGCATGCCAGTTCTATCACAGGCTGTGATAGAAGCATCACTGGGAACACTGCCAGTTGAGAAGAATATTAAGGCCAGCTTTTTTGGAAGTTCAGCATTTATTATTACTTTAACCTTTTTCTACTCTCTTTAGCTATTATGTCATCATTCCCTAAAAAACAAGCTTAGATTGAATGCATTAATTCAAATCGTTTTACTACTGAGGAGAAAATACTGGTATCAGATTATGAGACCCCAAATTTCTTCTGGCCTGTTGGATTGCTATCTAGAAAGCAGGCTACTGGTAGAAGACTTCTTTTTTCTAGGTCCACTGTTTCAGAATGGCTGATTCAAAAATCAGCCCTCTCTGAGGCCAGGCGTGGTGGCTCAGGCCTGTAAATCTTAGCACTTTGGGAGGCCAAGGCAGGAGGATCACTTGAAACCAGGAGTTCAAGACCAGCTGCAGCAACACAGTGAGACTCAGTCACCACACACACACAAAAATTAGCTAGGTGTAGTGGTACATGCCTGTAGTCCTCACTTCTTGGAAGGCTGAGGTGAGAAGATCACTTGAACTCAGGAGTTCAAGGCTGCAGTGAGCTAGGATCACACCATTGCACTGCAGCCTGGGTGACAGTGAGGCCCTCTAAAAACAGTGCTTTCTGATCATGAATGATATTCACAAGGAGACTTTCAACACAACTCTGAAGTAGATAATTTTTCCATTTTGATGTTAGCACGATGTGGCTCTTGTAATGTGCCTAATATCCATCCTCCTACTGTTTTGGTCTAATTCATTGAATGCCCTGTTTTCTAATGGCTCTAATAGTACTTCTTCCATGGGCAGTTGTTGGGTTTATAAACTCCCATTCCATTGGGCAAGTTACTATAAAAATATTTACAATCATGAGATTGTTTTGAGGATTAAATAATACATGTATTGAACATAAAGTACTTAGCACAATATTTGTTCCAGATTAAGAACTTCATACCTTCCTTCTCCACTGCTACTTCCACTGCTGCACTAACCCCACCACAATTATCAGGGACTTTTTTTATGCTGAAAAGTTTCGTGGAGTAAGAGAAACACATCATTGTTTGAAAACAGAAAATTCTTATTTTGAAATAATTATAGACCCACAGAAAGTTCCAAATATCATACAGAGAGGTCCTGTGCATCCTTCACCCAGTCTCCCCAATGGTTACATCTTATGTAGATACAGTTAAACATCAAAGCAAAGAAACTGATAATTGGCATAATGTGTATATATCACACATGTAGACTGCGCAAAAGCACCACGAAAATCGAGATAGGCAACTATTCTAT